TTATAATATTTTAATATTTTTCTTTTTCAAATTCATATCTAAAACTGACATACTAGTTAGAGGAGAAATGGGCTCAAAGTCAGGATGATAATAGCTGGCACATCCACTTTTCTGCCTCTGCCAAATTCCATATTCGATTCTTGTTCAAACCAGTTTCCATTAAATGGTCAGGAAGAATCATATATCCAGTTTCCTACCTGACTTGAATTTGAAAGTCCTACTCTTTTATCTTCAGCAGAAAATGATTTTAAAACAAATTTAAATAGTTTTGTTAATTCCTTGAAAATAGATTTTAAAATAAATTCAATAACATCCCTCCATAATTTAGGAAGAAAAAGAAGAACTAAGTCATCAGCATAAAGAATATGACAATTAAAGAGCATAGGAGGAAATCCACAATGGCAATGCTAAGTCAATCCTAGAATGCTATTGAGAAAGGGACTTCATTTCAATCAGATCATTTGTGGCTTATGATAATGCATGACAAGATTTGTTAGATTTCTTTTCTGTTTTTTCATCAGCGAGTTAGCTTTAAAAGGCCTATTTTTCTCTCGTTAACAAAAGAAGGCTCCTTCTTGACTGCAAAAGTAGAGCAAGGTTTTGAGGGTGTTAGTGCTTAAAGTACAAAGTGAGCATAAATAACTTAAATATCGTAATTTCCATACAGAAAAAAAAAGTTAATGTGAGGTGGTAAAAGAAATGTTTCTAGTGTATCTGGTAAATGTAATCAATTTAAAATTGTAAATGTATAACTTAAAAAGTTACAAAAGAGGTACTTAACCTAATGCACGCTTTTTTTTTTGCTGTTTAAAACTGCTCATAAGTATATAATTACCAGCATGTTCGTTACACTAATAAGCTGGCAAATTTGAATAGGATCCTTAAAATTACTAATGAGCACTTAAGAGTCTTTTTGGCTCTACTAGTGCTTGTACATGTACTGAGTTGCCAAAAGTATTATAAAAATGACTTCAGCTAAAAGCACTTTTAAGGCAAAAGTAGTAGTCCCTATCGGCAATAACAAAGAAGTATATTAATGAATAGTTTGTATCAGCTCAGCCAAAGTTCATTAAAGTTCAGTCAAACTAGAACTCAAACTTGAAATTGAGCATGAAAAGAGATTCCTTAGCTAAACAAATTGAAGTGGAACCTGAAGGTATTTGATTTTAAAACTTGAAAACGTATTCATTTATCTGTTAATAAATTAAAAATATGTTATATACTTTATCAAACTAAAATATATAATATGTTTTAGAGATTATAAGATTTTAATTGTGTATTAAATATATCTATAAATACTTAAGTAAAATTAGATAAAATAGTACGTTAAGCAAGCTTTTTACTGAGTTTATCGAGTTAAATTCTATATAGTTCAAACTTATTTGAGTTTGAACTCTTTGTAAACAAGCCGAACTCAAGTCTAAAAGAATTTTTGAATCAAACTTTGAACCAAATTCAAGCTTGACACAATTCAAATAATCTAATTCAAAGACTCATGTATTCAGCTTGGTCGATTTGTTGCTGCTCCTAACAGTCACTACCGGAGCCAAAGGGGACTACAGGGGCCATGACTCCTTGGCTCTAATCCTCCAAATTTCGCTACAAATATTGGATTATAAATAAGTCACTAAAAATTTAATAAACATACTCAACATAACATCATTCATTTATTGCAGCACAAACCATATCTCAGAACAACCTATTTTTCAGCTTTTGATTTCACATTCATCAAAAGCTAAAAATAAATTCTCATTTTAATTAAAAGAAATTCTATTTTTGAAAATTTTCAGACTTCTGCCTTTTCATAACAGGCACACAAATAGAAACCTGGCTAAATAATCTATTAGTATCATAGTCAATTGCACTTTTACAATGTTTTTTTTTTGGACCATCCACCGGTATTTACTGACAAATACCCTACTTCAAATAAACTATATCTAGGCTAACTAAAAATTTGCAATAAATGCCTCAAATTCTGAATCATTAGCTTGTAAATCTATGAAATTCCCTGCTGCAAATATGTAGATGACAATTTCCTTCATGCAACCCATTAAATGATGTTTATATATAAAACAGAAAGCTGATGCAAATAACAACAGAAGTTTGACAAAGACATGACTATTGAGCCAGAAACAAAAATGGACATCATTGGACAGATACATACACAGTCACAAGAAAATAAACAGTAGACATAACCACAAAAAAAAAAAAAAAAAAAAAAAAAAAAAGAAAAAGAAAAAGGAACACAGAACAGACTGATAGTCAAACCTGCAAATTGGATGTATTGAAGGCTCCCAGACGTCCCATAACATACCACGCCTGAATAACCTGTGCACATTTCCAACTAATTATAACTAGCATCCAAGTCTAAGACAGATCAACCAGATGACTATGACCATCCAACAGAAGGTGTTAACTAAAACCATGCGTTGATTTTTTGGAATAACTAAAACAACATGTTCATGACAATCTTTTAACAAAAACACAGTGCTCAAATAAGGAAATGGTAGGATAATGTGGAAAAGTTACATACACTACCAATAAGATCAACATCCCGATCAGAAGGTGATCCATATAGCTCAAACCATATACAGGAATCAACAGGATTGAAACTGTCACCTCAAAAGGAAACAAATTATTGAAAAATGAAGTTGTAGGAATTATTTAGTGCAACTTCTACAAGATTAGGAAAAAGGAAAGAAAGAATAATCAATGTAATTGCAAATGTAACTATCACGAATATTATCACAATTTAATGTGTGAGAAAAGATTTTTGATTTACCTATATGTAAACTCAATCACTAATTTTTCTCGAAAGAGAAATAATTCAATCATTATTTTCCAACAAGATTTAGGGTTGTACAAAGTTGAATAGCAGACTTAAGTCCTTAATCATAATTTAGAATATAAAAGGAAATTTCATAACTGATTTACAACCTATATTCACATAAAAGAGGGAAAATGGTCAGAATTTACACCTTCATATATGAAAAAAAAGAACTATACACCTTCATCAGTTCTTTTCAGCTACATTTATTTATGCTTTATCTACTAATACTAATATTTCAACTATCAATGCCTCTTTATTTCACAAGACTAAATTACCATAAACTTTTGGCCTTTTGACGTAGCAGAGTGAGCGAACAAAGGCGAGCCTGGTGAAGCCAAAGTTTTGTAGGGTTTTTTTTTCCCGAAATTCGCTACATATGTCTTTGTTCTCAGAACAAGAATATTCAAAACTTTGTGAGTTTGGGTGCATTTAGGGGCTAAGGATTTGAAAGAGAGACCACATTTGTAATTTCCCAAATTCTCCTATAGTGAACCCAAGATTAATTTTGTCAGTGAAAACAGGTGAAATGGGCGAAAGCACATACATTTTGCTGTCATTTATTTTTCTTACCACAAGTGGTTCAATCAATTTACTTATTCACACAACACTAAAAATCAGCTATCTCTGTGCGGGAGGCCTTCCACGATGCTGATCGCCGGGTTTACACAGTGACTGACTGTCAACAGGAATTGAAATGACTGGGAGGTTGTTGAATATGAAAAATTATTACATTTGATGAACACTGTTCAGTTTAGCAACAACAGGGACAGACTGCACTGGACATTGAGGAAAAGTAACTGCTTTTCGGTTAGCTCTTTCTACAGGAACCTCAACAGATACAGTGAAGCGGGGAGGGTTATTTTCCCACATAAAATCATCTGGAAGAACCTTGCCGCTCCAAGAGTTTCGCTTTTCGCTTAGGTAGCGTCCAAGGAGCACATCTTGACTATTGAAAACTTAATGAGAAGAGGAAAAATTATGGTTAATAGATGTTTTCTTTGCAAATGCACCGCTGAATCCTGTAATAACCTACTGGTCTTCCTACAATCTTTGGACCCTTGTTTACAGGCTCATGGGTATCAATTGGATGATGGCGGGCTTGGTCATAAATGAATTAATTACTTGGGAGGGGCTTATTGGCAACAGCAAATCTGCCTGTCTGATCCCCTTGTCCATTTTTTGGGTTATTTGAAAGGAACGTAACAAGAGGGCTTTTGATGGGCAGGAAGAGTCTTCCATGAATCTTAAGAACAGGTGGTTTCACTATTTTGACTCCATTATGTTGGGTCATAGCACATATAGCTTAAAAGACTTTTGAGCGATTGCAGATATGCTCATTGACATGTAAATTTTTTTACATGGGTCACATCTCCTTGGTGCCGATATTTAATATACTCCTACACTTTTATTTGAAAAAGAAATCAATTCTCTTTGAAACATTGTGTAGTTAGTGCCTTGATTGATAAACACTATAAGTTGAACTATATAGCAATATCATAAACCACCTCAACCATTTCACTAGAATGCATCCATTATGCATAAGATCAAATGGCACAGCCAATGTCCTGGATTTTTTTATAAGATAAAGATCAATAACAAAAACACTTGAAATTTAGAAGTATATCTTAAGGATCTTTCAACAGAAAAATTGTAACATATGAAATAATGGAAACCAGCATAAGATTGTCTCTCTTCTTTAGCAAAAAATATCTGCTTTGGTATGCAGTTCCCGTATTTAGAAACTGTAAGGTTCCTTTCACTGAGCACTTCATCAAGATAGAACTGCCATTAGGCATTAGAACACCTAGGGGCATATTCATTGTTGAAAGGATTTGATATGTATTTCGAGAACTCAAAAGCAAAGTCCAGAATGTACAGAAAAGATGGAATTTTCTTTCCTGTCAACAGTTGAAAGCTTCTACTATTTATCTCTGGATGTTATAACAGTCTTAGGTCTACGCCCTTAAGCAGCATGTGCTTTCATTTCATAGTGCAACTGACTTATCAATCTCAAAACTGCTTTTGAGCAGACTACCCAAGTAGCAAAAAGAATACTAAATCATGAGATTATAGTTACATAGTTAACTGTTAATTGTATGAAACTATGAAAATTCTTCATCTTTATTTCCCCTGCCTAACGGTCTCATAAATGATGCAACAAACATTTACAATAGATAAACTCATAAATTAAAATAAAACAAGAGATAAACAAATGTATGTGTCAACTTACTCTCTAAAGCTGACTTTAAAAGCAAACACAGAGCCAGTTTTTTGTTTGTGGAAATCTTTACCCTTCTGTCGGACTCGTTCTTCAACCTGCAACTCAGTTAATCATAGTGTCATTAATGGGGTCTTGCTTGATACTAGCGCGCTGATAACAGTAAAAAATTTAATGCATAACCACTTAATTAAATTGGACAAGGAAGAAATGAGGTTAAGGAGATTTGAGTTTTCCAAATATTTATGCTGCAACTCAGTTAATCGTAGCGTCACTAATGGGATCCTATTGATACTAAAATAGTAAAGAAGTTAATGCACAACCATTTAGATAAATTATTAGCAGCTTCTCCACGTCCATCCAATGGCTGAAGTGGAAAAATGGTGAATGCTTCCCCATATGCATAATTATGATTGTTGAAGAATGGTAAATTCAGGTTCAATATCATTATTTCCATGTTTCTTCCAAAGCAATAACCTTCTCAAATTGTCTGCTGGATGAAACAAACTTTAGCTTCCGAAAACTCTAAAAGAACAACTATTCTATTCGATGCTTACATTTTCTCTATCCTTAAGGCAACTTGAAAAATAGCGGTTAATATGCAAAATAATACTTTGTCTATAAACGAGGAATCCCAGGAAGCACAAAGTTTCTTTTGTACAAACAAGAAGTTTGTTAAGGGAGTCTACAGTGAAGATAACTTGGAATACCGATTTTTTGTCGGTCAATTATCAGCAAGAAACAAATCCACCATTGATAAGGAAAGATGAAGTTATGGCTTAAAAAAAGAAAAAGAAAAAGAGACAAAGGAGACATAGAGACAGAGAGAGTGAATGTCTTAAAAAGCAGGAAAGGTTAGCAAACAAAAAGATAAATACCCTTTTCCTCATGAGTTCAGGGTTGCCGATACTGTCCCCAAGAACAGCACGGAGCTCAGCATCATTCTTGCAGGCATCCTCCAGGACTCTGTATCCCACAGAAACAACAGTAAACTCAGAAACCCAGATAATTGGTTGAGGTAAAAAGACAAACAGGTAGAATATAAAATGAACAAGAATAAGAAGCAAATACTTAGCCCATGCAGGGTAACTATGAAGACGATCATATTCGCGTTTCCTCTTCTCTTCACGAATTTTAAGGAGCCTCCTCCCCCTCGCCGTCGTCCCTGATCCTTTGGCCACCGCCACTCCTCCATTACCACCAGAAACACTGATGGTGGCGGTGCCATTGACACCAGAGCTACCGGAGGAAGATTCGTGTCCTTTTCTCTCTTCTCCTTGATGATTAATACTGTTACCATCGCACTCATGAGCCGCTGATGCATGGGTTGGCAAAACCCTGTATGATGCTTTCTTGTTTAAGGCAATGAGTGAACCAAACTGTCTCCTGTTCTTGTTGTTGGTTCCGATTCCATTATTGATGACAAAGAGGGGTAACGAGAAAGCGTAATTGGTGTCGGATGATGAAACTGGGAGAGAATGAAGAGTTTTGGTAGAACCGTCTGCAGTGTAAATCCCTCCGAGTGTCGCCGCGAACATTTTCTTCCTAGATTTCTGTTAGATGTTGAGTTATTCTGTGTATTATGAGCATTTTATTGGTTTTTATGTTTAGTATTGTTGAAAAGGAAACTAATAAGTAATTGAATTCTTGGTTTCTATTATTATAGGGGTAGTAATATAAAATATATAAATATATAAGTTTTTCTAGAATTTTAGTAAGTAGCCTAATATTATTAATCAATTCTCTTGGAGCAAAGCAATTTCAAATAAACATTATAAGGAAGGAGAAGGAAAAAAAATAGAAATTTCAATGCTAGTAACTTTGAAGTGAAGTTTGTAATCTTTACATGCTCTGTAGCATTGCCCGTATGGCTTCTTCTTTAAGAACACCCTGACTTGCTATTGGGAGCTTCAAAACTATTAAGGTTTATTAGGTGTTCATTAATTTTTTCAATTTTTTTGTTTCCTTATTCTCACCCCTTCAACAAGCTAGTCTTTTATTATTGAATAACTTGAAGATTAGTGGGCAGGTCAACTAAGTCTTTTTTTTATTTTTTTTTTTGTATGAAGTAGTGCACTTACTAAAACTTCTTTAGGTAATTTTTTTTTTCTATGTTTACAAAACTTTTATATTAATTTTAATTTATTTAAAATAATTTTTATTATTCAAATTTTGGCTAGTTAACTAAGAAACGTTATACATGTCAATTTAAATATATATTTCTTCATCTTTTGTCAAAAATTATATTTTTCTAACATTTTCAAAGATTTACTATAAGGCGACTTTTTCAATCATTTATTTCATCATTTTATTATCCATGCATACTTTTATTGCTCTACGACTTATTTCATTTCACGTAATTATGATATAATAATTTTTTGGTATGTTACCTTTATATTCTTCAACTCAAATGAAATGATTTTTAATTGTAGAATTTTTGTCTTATGATGAATATAGTCTTTATTTTTTGGATCTCGACCAATAAATTTGAGTATATCATGAGAACTCATTGATAACTAAATGTGGTATTATTGACCAATAATTTTACACGGGTGATAGAAAATAATATTTTAACCATGTTTTTGTTCAAGTTTCTATGATCCACACATTTTTTTGGATGGAACATAATCCATATACATTAAAACCCTCTCGTCCTTCTTTGATACTAATATTATATTTGTTAATCATTTTGGATAGTTAACCACCTCAAACAAAGTGTACTATTATTTATTTGATAAATTCTTCTTTTACTAATTTTGTTCATTCTAATCTAGGTCTTCTTAACTTCTATTTAACTAGCTACACATATGGATAGGTGTAATTTGTGTCTTTTACAATGTGTATATTGACCTCTAACATATCCTCATACGTCCATGCAAATACTTTAAGCTTAGAAGGTCAATCCCCAACTTTAGGATGGTCTTCATTGGATACACATTGATGGTGAACCGATCATATACCATACATAAATGCTTTTTTCATCTTTCACTAAAGCCTTGATGAATAGTGGTTTATTATGTCATTGCCTTTTAAATGGGTAGTGCTTTTTATTTAAGTATATAGCAATTCCCTTCTCTTTCTTAATAAAGAACCCCATCATTTCTTTGGTTATAGTTTCGGTACTAACATTGAGATTGGACAAAACCTCTAAAATAGTTTTACGATGCTTTTGTAATGAAATTAAGAGATCTCTTTCTTTGCTCATTTTCTCTTTATTTTTTTTAGATATTAAAATTTTCTCGTCTTAATTTACCTTGGCTTTTGACCATTTCTCTTTTCATATTGCCGTAGTTGATGATATCTTTCACTTCAAGAAATATATTTTGTTTCTCCCTCACCCTTGAAAATCTATTCCCAAATGCTGTCCAAGTATTCTTTCCTGTCTCATTTTGGAGAATATCTTCTTGCATATCCATCTATATGGAATTATCCCTCATATTTCCTAAGGTCTAACTCTTGCACTTTAAGGATTATAAACTTATCATGAGCCGAAACCTTTCTATTAACATCCTTGATTGAGTTCTTGGTAGACATGTGTTTTTCATCTTATGAGAGCGCTTGGGATCTTTACATGCCTTAGTATATATATATATATATTGCCGTGCATTTCCACACAAAAAAGCCCTAAAATGGATGTAAGGCAAAAAAGCTAATGTCATGCATGGGACACATATATGTAAGCTATATAAAGTTTTATATTTTCTTCTCAAACATATAGAAGATCCTTACAAACTCATCTTTTCCATGTGCATATCATTATATTGATTCTATTTTTAAATTTTATTCTTAATCTTTAATATATCCACCAATATAAGATCATATAAACTGATTAAATAATTTTTAAATAGAAAATAAACACACATAATAAACAATAAACTAAAAATTATCATTATGTTAAATAAATATTTTTTCTATGTCCAACATAAACTTGTTGAGTAATAGGCAAAAGCCCATTACTTGTTGAATTATAGCTATTATAAGAGTGTGCACCTATTGTGAATATAAATGTACCCTTTTCAGACTTTCAGGTCCATAAACATGCAATAGAGGGCATTCCTAGTAAAAGAGTTTTATTCTTAGACTTGGACCTTTGACTCACCTTGTATTTTCTTTGTTTTATGTACTTTTTTCACATGTCAAAACTTTTACTTTAACCTGTGTTTAGTTTCAAGTCTATACCGGCAATACTTCTCCAAGTACTTTGTTTTTTTGCAGTTGGGACATGGGGAAATTTTCCTCCTTTTCCATTTCTTTGTTTCCTTGTTCTCTTGTTTTTCTTTCTTATCAAAGCTTTTATTCCCTTTACTTTTTATGTTGTTTTCCCTTCTGTTTTGCCAAAAATGTTCCTTTAGCAGCATCATTTAACCTTAAGGACCTCCTTTTATACGGTAGCTTGCAAGGTATTGGTAAGCTTTACCAAGGACATTGTAGAGAAGTCGTTTCAGTCTTCTATGGAAGAGATTTTTGCTTTAAATCTTTCTGGCAGACTCACTAAAACTTTCTCAATAACTCTTTTGTTTGTAAGTTCTTCTCCAATCATCTTTATTTGATTCACAATCTTCATTACTTTTTCAGTAAACTCCCTTGGTTGTTTCAGCATTATTTGTTTTCAACATTTCAAATTCTCTTCTCAAATTCAGCACCTGCATTTGCCTTATCTTTTCACTCCCTTGGAATTCTTCTTTAGTTCTATCCAGAGGTTCCTTTCTGCTCTCACAAGACATGATTCTCTTAATTTCAAATGCAGCTGAATGGATGAAGGAAATTGCCTTGAATTTCTTTGTTATTTCCTCCGCATGATGTTTCATTTGAGTGACTGTTGAGTTTGCTCTTAAGAGAGGAGAATCTTCTCCAACTTCAACAGCTTCCAATAGATCCATCCCCTTACAAAGAGTTTTCATTCTAACAGCCCAAAACTGACAGTTTTCTCCATTAAAGATGGATGGAGAAACACTTCCTAAAGTGTCTGAAGTCATGCTCATCAAGCTATGATTTTTATAAGTTTTGTAGCAAAAACATTCTCTTTCTCAGTTTCTCTAAGAGCTTGAAGCTCTTATGCCACTTGTTGAAAATGCAAGGGAAAAAAACTCGAGAAAAACCAAAGAAGACTGAGAAAGAAAATTGAGGCAAAAAAACCAGATTTTTCTGCTGCATAATCATCTCCAAAAACAAACATAACTAGCTGTCCAAGACAACTAAAATCATATTACAAGTAGCATAGATACCTTGTTACTCTGTTAAACAACCTTAAACATAGCAAAAGCAAGATTAAACAAGCTTCCTACAACTTAAGAACCAAAGGATATAAAACATAAACTTAAATAAATTAAAACTTCTTTTTTCTTTTATGAACTTCCAAGACTCAACTTGACTCACAATTTCAATTTGTAATGGTATGGCTATGAGGGATTTTTACTTCGGAGGCCCAATTCAAAACCATCCTCCCTTGTCGCCAACAATTACAAAGAAAAAGTCTGGAGTAATAAGGGAAGCCTTTTTTTATATTAACTTAAGCTTTATAATATGATCAACTCTGAAATAATTGTAGAGACCATTTATGATTATGCTTCTACACTGAAAAGGCCATAAACTGAGAATCAGACATTTTGCTCTTCGTAAATAGTGCAGTGAAAACAATGGCCGTGGTTGTTATTCTCTTCCTACTTCATAATATTTCAGTACAATGTTGTGTGCTATGGATCTTATGAAATAGGCTTCAAGATATACATCTTGCATCCGTGAGAGTTCACTGTAGCTGTCAGGTTTCCAACAAACGGTGTTGTCAATGTCTTGTGCTGCATGAGACAAAACCGTAAGATAGATGAAACAAAATATCAGGAACTCTAGTAGACAACAAGGCAAGAAAAGCTGAGCTGAGCTGAGAAGTAAAATGAGAAATAGGAGATTTTTGTAAATAACAATACCTCCCAGAGATCTCTTGCTTCAACATAAGTGTTTGGGGGGATTGCCAGGTCATCCCAGTTAGCTGTTATGGCTCTGCGTAAGGGACCTCGGTTGACAAGGAGTAATGCTACTCTATAACCTGAAAGTGGACCTGTCCAAATCTGTTTTGAGGGAAAAAGAAATAAATGATGTATGCTTAATAACTATCAAGGAGACATAACACACTACTGTATCAAGAATACTGTTCATAATTTTACCTCAAGGTCACCTTCACTTCTAACCTTATGAGCTTGTACACCCTGTGGATCTGTTATACATTAATTACCAAAATGAAGTCCATAATAAGGTGGCAATTGATCAGCGATTAGTTCAAGGAGAAAAAGGAAAATCTTAGCAGGAAAGGTAGATCATTCACCTTGGTTAACAGCAATGACCTCCTTGTTGGCAATGATATCTAGTGTGTCTTTTGTCACATTTCTCAAATCACAACCGAGTAGAAGAGGTGCCTGCAATAACATTTATAGGTAACTGAAGACATTCTCCAAAACATGTGTTCATATAAATTGGATCTCAATCAGACAATTTTCCTAAATTACCTTGGAAATGGCCCATATACTGAAATGGACCATGTATTCGTCCTCTGTCATCCCTCCATTTCCAACCTCAAGCATGTCAGGGTCTATTCAAGAAGAAAGAAGGTATATACATCAAACCAACTGCTTGCTAAGAATCATTTTCTTGTTTATGAGATTAAAAACTGTACCATTCCAACCACCAGGCCTTGCATAATCAGCGTAAAACTCGTTCAAGTCTGCTCTAGAAACCATACTGCCACAAGGCAAATAAACGTAGTTATTAATTTCCTATCAAAGACTGAAATAATCAGATATACACTCTCCACGCTTTAAAATTTTACCTTTCCCATGTATCAGCTATATCATTAGTTGTTCTCCAACTATTTCCGACAGGAGCACCCCATAAAGCAGGATGCAAGTCTCCCCTGGTGTTGAAAAACAAATATATATCAAACAAGAAAAGGAAAACAATTGATTACTACATATATGAAGTTTAAGAGGATTACCATTCACATAGGGAGAAGTAGATTGGGCGGCCACACTTCATTAGAGCACGAGTCATGACAGGGTATCTAAATGAAGGATAATGATGAATCATTGTGATAGCTAAACGTGGATTCTTAAATGCAGATAAGAAAAAGAAGAAATTTATTGAGAAAATTCAATAAAAATGATTAAATTACCTTACAGTAGGCTTTGAGCCATCATTGTAACAGTTGTCATACTTCAAGTAATCAATGCCCTGCAAACAAATTTCACCATTAGGTAGGTGGTACCATATCCTACATTTTCTATATAATTATATATATGGTATTAGGTTCCATTACAAAATGATCACCAAAAATCATACCCATGAAGCAAATGTTTTAGCGTCTTGTTCTTCATGCCCAAGGGAACCGGGCATGGTTTTGCTGCATGTAAAATACCTACAAGAATCATCAAGCCGAAAGCATTATATCAGCCCATAAATGCAGTCATTACACTGATTACAAGGAGGAATATTAATTAATTAGCATGGGATAATCTGATAGGCACTGGAGGTACATTACCCTGCATCTGAATATATTCCAAGCTTAAGACCCTTGCTATGAACATAGTCTGCCAGAGCTTTAATGCCAGATGGAAATGTTGATTTCCTAGGTACCAAATTACCCTGAAATTAAGATTCCAGTTCCAAACTTCGGGTCACCTCAGGATTTCCTGCCTTCTCCAAGTACTATCATATTGAATCATTACTAAAAATCTCTACAGCCATAGACGTTTGTCCTTGACATTTTACATCAATTGCATTCGAAAAGAAACAAACTGAACAAAAAAAAAAGAAAGAAAAATACCTTTTCATCACGAGTTAATTCAGCCCAGCAATCATCTAAACCAAGATATTTTTCCGTTAGCTTCTAACAGTTTGTTTAGCAGCTAAGAATATGAAAGGTGAAACAAAAGAGAGAGTGCAGAGTCTCACAGCAGCTTACCTATATTAACATAGGTATATCCGAGCTTAGAAAGACCGGTGGCAATGAGAGCATCCGCTGTCAAACCAAGTAGACAAGATTAATTGATGATTACTTATTAAAACGCACTTTTTTTTTTTGAAATAAAAAGTGTAGGACTTAAATTAAAACACACTGTTATACAGTGGAAAAAGGCTACTCAACCACCATCCAACTCCAGTTGCTGCAACAGGTCTTAAAGCTATATATATATATATATATATTTGATTTTGATATATATATATCTCATATTTAGGTACTATGTGTAAACATACATTTAAATTCTTAATGCAGTATAACTAGAAATGATCAAAGTAGATGGATATATGGATTAAACTCACCAGCTTTTTTGATGGTTTTCTCATCAATGTTGCAGTAGAAATGGTTCCAACTATTCCATCTACAACCAATAAATGGACTTAGCTAAAGATATCAAATGAAGTTCTCTTTTTCAGAAAAAGGAACAGTAAAAATAATAATAAACAAGAGGAAAACTGCAGAACCCACTTCTCAGGGATAAACATAATTCATTTGGCAAATTAATGAAAATACTCCACATTTTTGAACTCAAAACGTTACTGTATAAATCCAACTTCATATTTATCATCTTGCGTACTCTATGGAAAATTCTGGAAACTAACTTTTCTTTTCTTCTTTTCCTTTCGCGCCCAAGATCTTCATGGAAGAACATCTTTTCTTTCTCATTCTTTATTTTTGTAATAGAAGACATTACTGTGGAATTGCAAATAGACCCACATGAGGTATAAAGCAAATCTCACTCTCTTACCACTTTAACAACAATATATGACAGAGATATCATTCACCTAAGCCAAAACGGACAGCCATGATTGGATAAGTCTTATGAAAGAGAACAGCATAGTACTGATTCTAATCAAGTAGACACTGAACTGATGTGAGCATTACATATTTACCAGTCAATACTGTTGACCAATAGGTAAGTTAAAAGCCTATTTTTCAAACCAATAACGAAAAGAAAGATGATAAATATCCATCATCCATACAAGATGTGCAAATAGAAATACCCCATGGGAGGAGTCAAGCCAAGGCCATTGGCGAGCAGGGTTCTCCTGTAGTGCTCAGTCTCCGTTACTTTCACCGGTCTTGATGAGGCAACACCTCCCGCCAATGAAGTCAATAACATGATCTTAATTAGCGTCGCCATTGAAACAAAGAAACCCCCATCATTCTCCATTTGGTTCCGTAGGTATAACAAAGTGATTATGTGAAATGGGTAAGTTGCAGTACGAGCAGAAACGGATAAGAGAAGGGGGGTGGGGGGGGG